TCTCTTTTTGTAGGTACCACTAATACATGTCCCTGTTTTCTTCTGACCAAGAGGGCCTAGAGTAAAGGCAAGCATAAAAAGGACAAGTATTTGCATCATGGCTTTGAGTCCGCCTACCTCTGAAACCTGAAACCAGTAGTTATTCCCCAGAAAAGAGTAATCTGAGTCGGAAACTGACTGTTCTTTTGGAAAGTGATAGGAAGAATAATAATAAAACAAACCTCAAGTCGGAGAAAACACTGTCAAGTGTAATGGAAAATGTGGAGAATGCCAAAAAGCAGGAAGTGTGATAAACAAGAATATGGTATAACTTGTGCAGACAAAAGCAGAGTTTGAATTAGGATCACTCAGGAAGCCCTTCAGTATTCAGTGGCTTGAGCCTTATTCTTTCTAACCTTATTACAGAGTGCACTATGTGCAAAACTTCAAATGACCTCTTAAAAAACTGCTGGAATGACTGTTGGGAGAATACATGGTGCATGCAAGTAAGCAGTGTTTGGTATGGATTTCCCCATCATACCACCACTTTACCTGCCAACAAAAATGTCTCTATTTCGCTCATGTACAAGATCACTAGTATGAACATTTCACTGCCAGACTAAATTCCACCTGTCCCAAAAGCATATTACTGCACCCACAGGAAACAGGGACTTTCCGGTCTCTGGCCTGCTTTTGCTGTCTTTTCTAGCACATTGCCCTATGAAGAGGCACAGGGATGAAGCGGTCATTCAGGTCTAAACTGTCAGACTGAAGGGCTCTAGCATGGCTATAACACACCCACAGCCCAGATACAAGGACAAGATCAAATCCTATTACTACAACCCTATTCATTATTAATTAGGCAGCAAGCTTTTCAAGGCCCTCAGAACTGCTTCATTAGCTAGCTGCCTGTTCTCCCCTACGACAGAGACTATAACCTGGCACATTTCCTTCTAGGCTTCTGCTCTTGGGCCTTAGACAGGAACAAGTCCATCATTAACTCTAAAAGTCCCAGTGGACTTTTTTAGTGCTCATAGCTGTGGGCCTGGAAACAAGCTCCCAACAGGGGCTCCTGTCCTCTCCCCTTTCTCTTCTTAACTAAATTCTAACCTTCCAAATTCTAACCTCCCTGCCTCCCCCAGCCCCCACCCTCACCCACAGCACTGACACTCTGGCTTGTCCCACCCCCCTCTCCTCTCTGGCGTCTTCCACACACTTCACCAGGTTGAAGAACATGACCCTGACTGGTGCCAGGTTGTCAAGAGATCTGCACTGTGGATCAGGGAACACTGGATTGCAAGTAGCAGCAAAGCCAAACCAGAGAAGAAGCCGAGCCAGCCAAGGCAGTTCAGAAAGGGGAGGCAGGTCACTTTGGAAGGCTGGAAAGGAAAGGGAGTTGCTGGCAGGAGGTATCGAGGAGAGGGTAGGACTGGCTCTTGCCAAGTCAGCATTAACAGTCCTTTCACCCTCCCAGCAAAGCAATCACACCACAGCCCTAGGAAAAGGGATTCTCTCAGTCAGCACCCTAAGGTTAAAAAGTGTTAGCTGTGGATAGGCATGCAGGAGCTAGAGGCAAAGGTGTAAAAGAGGTGTCAAGAACCTATGGCCTCTGGGCTGGATCTGGCCCACAGTGAAGCTCAGGACTTCAGCTCTGCAGCATATTTCTAAACCTCAGTCAGTCCGCCCGCCCTGCTGCCGCAGGGCTGGAGTGTGAGTGCTGTTCTGCCCTGAGCTTGTTGGGAGCCAGGTCAGTGAGTTTTGTTTCGTTTCAATTTTGCTTGGGAGTTTTGTTTGTTTTTTTGCTTCTTACTTATGTTCGACCCCCGACTGATTTTTCTGTGGGTCAGTGGCCCTTGGCTGAAAATCCCTGGTATAAAGCGCTCTGGATCTCTGTTGCATTCAGAGGCATGTCGGAACACATAGCCTGGCCCTATTTTCTTCTTCAGGTATTTATTAATTACCTCAGTTTCTCAAGACTCATAAATCAGCTGTAAGAATTGGTCTTATCTCATTGACCTGCTGACAGTTCTGAATTTCAGATAAGGAGACATAGTCCAGAAAGCCTTTATGAAGCATTTCAATATGTATGAGGATGGCTTTGTCTGCACACTATGTGTTGTCTCTAAGTAATACTTTGAGAATCTGAAGATCTTCTTTCAGTGGAAGATTAATGAGGTAGGGACATGGGATACTTACCGCTTCCATTAGCCCCTTTACGGTGGGTGATTTTAGCATCAAAGCATCAAACACTTCATCAGTCTCTTTCCTCACATACAGAAGCACTGAAAGAGCAAGGATCAAATTTGAAGCAGGCACAGACAGATGAACAGATGAAATACATCTCATTAAATAGGAAGCCAAATATTAATCTTGAATCAATGACAAATAAACACAAACGATGAAAGCCAGATGTTGTTGTTAAAAAGTAAAACCATCTCATGTAAACACTGATGTAAACTTGCAGGAGGCATATTGGCTTGGTTTGGAAACACACAAAGATCAGTTAATAGTTTTATTGAAATATGGGCAGTCCCAGCTGAAGAGTAGTTGAGCTATTGCTTTGTAGATAATTCAGTCCTTGGGCTGAATCATGGAGTCAAACAACTGAAATTATAACCTGTTCCTTCTGTAATCAATATATAAGATTTGCAATCCTCCAATCTTTAACCAAAGGGCAAGGGAAAGGAATTCAGAAAAGGCAAGACTACTTGATAAATTAAATTTGCCTTTAGCCAATACACCATGAAAAAAGTTTTTAAAAAGGAACATTCTTTGATGTTACCATTTTGGCAACCTTAAATGTGCACCCTCAATATGAAATCTAGTCAATTTCACAGAATGAGTCAAAAGTAATTTCAGGCGCTACAGGAGAGCTATTCAAAGGCACAAATGGCAGTTAGGCACTTACCTCCATTGATTTTCACCTGCTCTTTGTGCCTTTGAAAATCTTCTCCTCAGACCCCTGACAATTTTTACAGGTTAGCAATCATAGTTTTCTGTCTGTTTTGAATGTTTTTTATCTCCCCTCTTGCTGTGCTAAAGACCCAGACAAATGAAAGGGGAAACCAACTGGCTGGATATTCAAGTAAAACAGACTCTACAAAAAGTGCTGATAAAGGTACAAAGTTAACAAACTGAAAATTAGAAAAATGTATTTGTCTAATCTCTTTTACTTATATGACTCTTAGATATTATTTGTAACTTCAGTAGTAGGTTGAACTATTTTAGATATTGATAATTTTTTCTAAAGGGACAATGTATTTTAAACTACCTGGAAATTCAATATAAATTAATGTACATTACACAGGTGCAGGAACTAGAGGTGCAAGGGGTGCTGTAGCACCCCTAAGCTCCCTGCCTAGCACCCGGGGTCCCAGCTGCCAGCCCTATGTGCTGGGGCCTCTGCTTGTGGCCCTGCTCAGCACCCCCACTTTTAAAAATGTTCCTATACCACTGTGCACATACACATATTCTATCAGGTATATAGAGGGCAATGCCACAAACAGCACTGGCTATTATTTGTACCTGCAAACTGGAAACACAAAAAAGCGAGACCAGTTTTTAAAAATTTAGTCTGGATGGTATTTTCCACCAGATGACATCTATTTGACATAGAATTACATCCATTTTAAGACAGAGGCAGAAGGATATTTACCATAGCAAGCCAGTGCTACTGGCTTTATTTCCTACTGGCAATGCATTTAAGTGTGAACTTGGACACATTAGAAAGAATTGCAATGTCTTTGCCAAGGCTTTCAGGTGACTGAAATGGGCTCATACTTCGCTGGCAAGATCACTGTTCATTCTCTGCCTTCAAACAGTATATTTCAGGGGATCATGATGGTTTTGCTCCTTGTATTTAGAAATGTTAAGGATCCTACTATAGAACTTGCATAAAGTTCACCCAGGGTTGTGTACCAGCCTTATAAATCCATGTAACAGTGAAATATAGGGAGCTTAATCTATCCAAAGGTGTGTATTAACCCTATTTGCTTATTTGAGAATGGCAGGGGGGACTCAAAATAGTTCTCCTATAACCTTCAGCTTACATTCGAAAGGGGGAAAATCACTCAATCAAATGTTAAAGTTAGGGTGGAAATCTCTTTGCTGTACTGAGAATGTCAGAATACATTATGTTGAATGAAAGATCCATTACAGGGTTAAGAGGGAGCCTGAATCACTGCTATGCATACACAGAAATGGAGTTGTAAAGATCTGGTGTTTTAGTGGTGTGAATGGAATTCTGTCATTGATTCACTCCGTTGTGTGATTCAATCATCTCTTAGCACATCTCATTAAATATCCATCATACTGTCACTATTTCCATGTCATCTAGCCTGCCTCTCTTAGTAGGAATAAATCACACTGTTCGTGACAGGCTACATATCATACTAGATAGTGAGCTTGTTTGTAGGACCAAATCAGAAAAACTGTAACCTCTAAGCTATCTGTCTCTTGGTCTAAATGCTCCCTACTCTCTTCCTAGCCCTGGATTGCACTGTGTTTCTTAATGCTCTAAGACCAAGAGTTTCAAATATGGTCCCTAAGGGCAGATTCCTAAATCTATATTTAGGTGCCTAAACAGCCCAATTTTCAAAAGTGCTGAACTCCCAGTAGCTCCAGTGAAGTAAAGCAAAGCTGCTGGGATGTTCAGCACATTTGAAAAATCAGGCAACTAATTTTGGTGTCTAAATGTGCATTTGAATTACGGTGTAATAGAAGAATTCTGAAAATATAGTGGATACATTGAGTAAACAATGAATACTACTGGAGATGACTGAAATTCAGCAAATGCCAGGACCTTATGAAAAGAAAGATTCAATTGACAGGACACATTTTAAAGGGTTCTGCAGGTGATGCGTGTTTATGGGAACTGAAGGGGAAGGTTGGTGGCTGAAGAGCATGAGACAGGCAAAGGTGATCTTGGACAGACGATATGGTACCCTGAGTGGATCAAATGGATTGATCATCCACAAAGAAATCAGCAGAGAGCTGTACAACATGGACTAACGTGACGAGCCTCCAGAAATGGAGATGCCAGATAAGAGGAGAAAATATGAATTCTGGAGCCTAACTTTGGGCACCCACTTATATCTTAATATTGTGCTTCTTAGTCTTCAAACCTGCCAAGGCATGAAAAAAGCCACCAAGGCATGACATGTTAGTGTGTTGCGGGTTATGGATAATGGCAGTGGGGCTGAAAGACTCGCCGGGGCCTTGGGCAAGGCGAGGGGTGAGGGGAACGAGCTCTGTGCCCCCAGAAGGAGCAGGGCCTCAGGCAGAAGGGGCAGGGTTGGGTTTAGCATCTCCCAGGCAGCCCTCAGCACTGTCTGAAGCATATCGTGCTCTGGTGGAGATTTAAAGGGCCTGGAGCTCCGGAAGCAGTGGTTGGGAGCTTTAGGCCCTTTTGAATCATCGGGCCCTGGGCAGTTGCCTCCATTGACACACACCCATTGTTGACAGGCTTGGCTAACTAACAGATTACTACGAAACCTGTCACCATTGAAATGTTTCATGTTTTGTATTCTTCACCCTGACATAGCTGGGAATCCCGAATAGTATTAGAACCACAAACCCCAGCACAAGAACTGAGTTACACAGGTGTCTTTGACCTTTACAATAATGGCTCCTGTGTGCACGCGTGTGTGATCTTCCTGAAGCATGTTATAAATTAATCACTCGACTGAAGGAATCAGAGCAAGAGTCTCTCTTGTGCCAGTTCACCATGCTGCTAGCTGGGAATTCCTTGTTGGGCACAGTGGGCAGAGAGAAGAGTTTCACACTTAGCTCTGACAGCTGGCCCCTCTACTTTCAATGAATGGGCCCAACACCCCCAAATCTGAACTAGCCAGGGCTTTGGTTTGGTCAGATCTTGGTCTTTGGCTGGACCTTATCTCGCTTTTTCATTTAGATTTTAAAAATCTTTCTGCTCATTAATTCTAAGCAGACAACAGCATCTGCCTGGTATGTATTGCACCTGTCACAGATTCATGTTTATCACCACCACAGCCAACAAAGAAAGAACACTGAGGTCTAACACATGGAAGGATATTCCTGTAAAGGTGAAAAGACACTGAGGTCTAACACATCCTGGGATGAGGTTTACCTGGGTGGTCGACAAATACCTTTGATGTCGCCACCCGCGCGTCCAGACTATCGCGCTGAGCAGACAAACAGCTGATCAGCTGTTTGTCGGCTCAGTGCGGCAGCCATGTAAATTTAAATGAAGCAGCGATTATTTAAATCGCTGCTTCATTTTACTATGTCTGGTAGCCTAATCTACATGCCTCTGGCGACAGAGGCATGTAGTCTAGACGTACCTTTAGTGTATTGTGGCTCTTTAACTTGTGAACAAGGAAGTGCCAAGATGAAAACATATGAAAAATAAATAGTGAAGGATTTGTCAGGGGAACTTTTTGATCCTCAAAATTTGGGGTAAGGGTTAGGAAATGTTCTGGACAGTTCATATTTTATACAATCAGGTGGGTCTATCCCTTCTCAAGCTAGCATGCCAGGCAGTACCTATTGATTACCCTTAGCGTGTTCTAGGAAACCTCCTTGCATGGTGCTGTGATGACAGTGGGACTGATTCTCCTGTCCCTTGCTCTATTTTTGCACCATTGTAACTCCGCTGACTTTCATTTGAGTAATTTCTGGTTAACCCTAGCCAGTGTGATTGGAGAATGGTGTCCCGGGCATTTATTTTCCTCAGAATTAATTGTTACCTCTTTTCAGTCCTTCTTCTTTCATTTGTTTGAAAGGCAGCGGGACAAACTCCTCCTCCACAGGCCGGAACATCCTTTTAACCAGGATGCTGCTACTAGAAATAACAACACAGTCTTTTTAGCATAATACTGTCCTCCCAACAAGAGAGGAGACAACAGCGACAGTTTCTATCCCACTCCATACTCAAGCAACACTCTCACTAGCTTCTCAAGGAATGATAGAGCAAGAACTGCAAGGATTTAGATTCTGATCCTTCCCTGACTTAGTCTCAAGTTGCCCAGAAGTACTGTGATAGGTAAATATGTTTCCTGAAGTTAAATACAAATTCTAAAGACAAACATCTGTTTAAACATGGGGAAGGTGAATGAAAAAAAAAAAAAGAAAGAAGTAAGTTACTGACCAAGTTGCTGATGTCACTACATTTACTCTCCCAAGCCCATCTGTATCAGGGGCTCTCTGTAAACACCCCTGTCCCTGCCCCGTGCAAAGGTATGCCCTCCTCTTCCCTTCGTTCTCTCTGGGGATTCTATGCAACACATCCTGCCCTTACTCCCATGTTAGACACTCTGGCTATGTCTACATTCGCGGCTTCTTGCGCAAGAAAACATCCACACTGCCATGTGCGAGCTGTGCTTTTGCGCAAGAGCGCCCATGGCATTGTGGATGCTCTCTTGCGCAAGAAAGCTCTGATGGTCATTTGAGCCATAGGGATTTCTTGCGCAAGAAATCCCTGCTGAGCGTCCACACTGCCCTCTTGCGCAAGAGCTCCTGCGCAAGAGGGCTTACACCTGTCAAAAAAGAGTGTAGCTCTTGCGCAAGGAGCTCCCTCTTCCCACGCCATACTGTAAATTTATTTGCACAAGAGCAGGCAGGCAGTGTGGACGCTCTGCAGATTCTTGAGCAAGAACGGCAGTACTTGCGCAAGAAGCTGCGAGTGTAGACATAGACTCTGTGTGCTCCCTCATTCCTCCCTTGCCCCATATCAGGTTCTCCATTTTCCTTCCCTGCTGGGATTCTCTATGCGACCCATTTCCCCTTTCCCCTCTCACATGATTTTTATTCCTTTTCTCTCTGGGAGATAAATCATCAAGGGTGTCAATATGTGAATATCTGTTGGAAGGACAGGCAGAGATGAGTTCAGGTATAGTTATGCAGGAAGCTATTAATGGCTGCGATCAACCAATTATTTGATCTGAAGACAATTGCAGACCTAGTAGGATGTGCTATCAGAAACATTATTGCATTATATCCAAACAGACAGAGAGACAGAAATGCCTTCAATGTGAGTGTAGGATGTTGTTTCTCCTTTAATTTATATGGCTGAGCCTTGTTCAGTCGTCTTTGCATTTGTTTAAAAGACAGAACCATGTTCTTGTTTGTCAAGAAGACAGAGCAAAGAAGGAGGAACATGAAGTTAATGCAGAGAATTCATAAGTTGTAGAATGGAAAGGGGCTGTGATTGCAGTCTGTAATCATTAAACTTCCATCTCTGATCTCACCACACCTAAGCAGGCTCAAATAGCCAGTCCCTGGTTGGGAGACCATCAGAGAAACGGAAGGTGCTGCAGGAAATGGTTGTGGTGGTTAGGTAGGTAGCATTCTTTCTCTATGCTGCTAGTGAACTAATACTTCTGCATGTGTAACTCACACAGGCAGAACCAACCTGGGACCTCTGGAGCTTAGTGCATGAGCCTCTACTGCTTGAGCTAAAAGCCAGCTGGCTCCCAGCTAAGGCTGTAAAGCAAACTCATTCTCTCTACAAGTCAGGAGTGGGCAAAAGGGCCTCCGTGGGCTGGATCCGGCCTGCCAAGTGGGTTGATCTGGTCCGTGGAGGCCCTCCTGCTCACCCGCCCCCATGCCAATCAGGGGGAAGTGCGCAAAGCTTTCTCCGCCCTGCCCGCACCCTGGCAGGGCCGGGGGAGGCTTCACGTGCTCCCCCACCCCCAGGCCCTGATTCGCCTGGGAGTGGGGGAACACGGGAAGTCTCTTCCCACCACCAGGGGCATAGGTGCTTAGTGGGAAGAGGGGGGCAAAGGGGCTTCCCCGCCCCTAGACCAATCATAGTCTGTGGGTGGGGAAGCCCAAAGCATCCTAGCTCTGCCCCTTAAAAAATTATTGCTGTAAGTGATCTAAGTGCCACTACATGGGACAGTGAGCCACACTCCGTACACGTGTGAGTTACACATGCTGCTCAGGGGCACTAAGCTGGTCGAGTTACAATCTTCAGGACCACTGGTACCACTAACGATTCCATTTTGTTTGCAAGAGTAAAGGAGTTGGTCCCAATATGTTGACCTAACTATTCAGCCGACTTAAAATCCTTCAGCATTTATTTTGGATGTGGATTCACTTCTACACAGCTGTGTCACAGGTTGCTCTGCCGTGTTAAACTGCTTCTGTGTTCCATCCGAGAGCTTCCTGCACTCCAATGGTGCTTTAAGCAATTCCTACATGGATAATTTTTAAAGTGGTCTGGGGTTCCTTAAGTTGAAGGGCACTAATATAAATGGAAAGTTGTTATTCTACGTTATGATCCAACATATTGCATTGACTCTGTGCTTAATGCACTATTTTATTATGGACTATAAAAATAAACAGATACAAGAAGACGCCAACCAATGTGAAGGAAAACAATAGTCAAAACTGGGGGAAAAAACCAAAACCCTTCACCTTTTTAACTCCACAAGTTATGAACACAGATCAGGAAGGAAAAAAAGGTTCACATTGCGTGCATGATTTTCAAGGATTTGGACCTTGCTGCAACACTTTTTTGTGAAGCAATAAATGTCTTACCCTTCTCTCTCATCATCTGTGTTATAGTAAACCTGTAGGGATGGGAGAGGGACAAGTTTATTGCTACAGCACAAATACCCACTGTAGAGAAGAGCTCAAAAAGGATAAGAGAAGAGAGACAGTTTGCAATTCTGCATCTGTTAATTTTTTCCCCTTGTATAAAAAATTGTCTACATTTTTAATCATGATCTGAAGAAAATATGCATTAGAGCAACTGCTATTATGTGTGCCACAATGGAGGTACTTGAATGCATTTCGACAAGAATCCTCTCCAGTCTGGTTTACATCATTCTTCCAACTGTTAGGAAAGTATAACAGTCTTGAAAATCAGATAACTACTTACTCAAATAACCCCAATGTGATTTTGACCTCAGCACTCATAAGCTTTAAATATAAAATAGATAGATGTCAAGGAAGTGAATTAAAATATAAAAAATGGTAAAAACTCTATGGCACCAAGGGTTAACTCAAAATAAGCTACACAAATTGACCTGTGTCAATTGTGTATCTTATTTTGAAATAGTTTATTTCGAAATAGGGAGCATCTACACAGCACTTATTTCGAAATAGAGCACTCTTCCTCAACATCCCTTATTCCTTGTACAATGAGGGTTACAGGAGTCGGAGTAAGAAGTCCTCCAGCTTGACAGTATTTTGACACTATTCTAAATAACTGCCTGCTGTATAGACACGGACTAAGTTATTTCGAAATAGTGTTGCAGTGTAGACATATCCAATGGGACATGCAACTGGTATTTGTACATATGGTACACATCTGTTTCTAGAAAGATGCATGGACAGATACTAAGCTCCTGTAAATTAGCATAGCTTGAATTCAGTGATGCCATCTCAAACTAGTCAGGGCCCTAACCTACAGTCTGTAGCAGAGATAAAAACAGTGCTCAGTATTTACCCAGCAGTCTCCATGTTTCAGATGCTGTATAAAATACTAGATTAATCACAATCCTCCCAAACCACCACCACAACACCCCCCTCCGACAAGGCAGAGGTAAGAATGCTTATTGATAGGTAAGAATGCTCCCTTGTTCTACTAACATTGAAAACTAGGAACTAAAGCATAGAACTAAAACCCTGTGTTTAGTCCCAGTTCTGCCATAGACTTTCTGACTGACCTTGGACATGTCTCCTTTGGTATGAATGTGCAAGGTGCTGACTGCACTCAACTCCAACTGAAACTTTCAGTGGGAGATAAGGGCACTTGTTCTCTTGAAGGAATGGATCTTTAACTCTCTGGGGCTATACCAGAGGCCTGATGATACTGCCCTGCCACAGAGAAGTGTGGTCAGGTTAAATCCATTAATACCTGTAAAGCAGTATAAGATCAGCAGATGAAAGGTGTCGTATAACTCCAAAATACTGTTCTGGTAAAATATTTTTGAATCAAGAAATAGGAGGCTTCATAAAATAAAAAAACAAGTTAAGGAGAAAAACATTAGGATGCCCAGAAAACCCTAGTATAGAATAGGTATAAATATTATCTGTGAGCATTTTAATTGAGAAAATTATTTACTTTCCGTGATGTTAGGACTAATTCTATCTTCTTATGTTTTGAGGTAAATACACATTCACATTTGAAAGTTGAGAATAGAAGGTACCTAGTGCTGACATATAAGTGGGAGTCTTTCCATTCCTGGTGAATAATTTCAGTGACAGCTGTGATCATAATATCTAAAGTCTATGTGCTTTTCATAAGCTCTTCTGCAATGCTGGATGCTTTAAAAATTAATGATAAACTCATATTCAGTGTCACTTTAGCCTTTGTTCCTTTTACATTTTCAGTGAGCTGTGCATCTACCTAGACACAGATTTGACAGTCCCTATTACTTTGTCTTTATGTATATATACAAATCAAAGCTTTCTCTCCATCCACTAAGCAGTACACACTTAATATATTCATATTTAGGAAAAAGCCATGTACAGAGCTAGAATTTAGGTTGCAGCTTTCTCAAGGAGCCAAAGGACTGGCTCTAACAACTAAAGCCAAAAAGACTCTGTTGTATTTAATTTGCAGGTCTTTAAGAAAAAGATAAATCACTGTTGCGAATGCTTAAAGTAATGATTGTGAGTACTACTCTTGATCTCCAGAGTTTCACTATCCCTACATACATGAGTGCAAGACTCTTCTAAAGAAATACAGGTAATGCAGGTGTCACATGTCATGGCATTTGAGAAGCTTGTTCCTTGTGACTTCTTTTAAAGACAGCAAAATCCTGACAGACAGACACAGGGTTAGTATTGTTTTAAATCATCCTGGGAATGGGCATCTCTTCCACCACAAGGGGGCTCATCTCTTGACTTAAAGTCTCTTACAAATATGTGTTAGCCATTTATAAGGAGTTTCCCCTTGGATTTAGCTGGAACGCTCTGAGTATCTTTCCCAGACCTGAAGAAGAGCTCTGTGTAAGCTGAACAGTTTGTCTCTTACCAGCAGAAGTTGGTCCAATAAAAGATATTACTCTAAAGTCACTCAGCACAGACAAGGAACAACTGTTTCTCTCAAGCACACACCAACTTCCTATTTTGAAGTTCCTAATTATTTGTTCCCTTCATAGTTACCTTAAAAATAATTTACAAATATTAAGTTAACTCCTTCCTTTCCCTGAAGAATGAAAAAAGTTTCCCTCCTCTTCTGAAGTCTCCTTTATGTATCTGTACTACAGGGCTACACAAGAACAACATTAAAGTGAAAAACAAACCCCAAAACCCTACCCTCAAACACCCTGCTTTGAGACTGTGAAACATACCAAGCTGGACAAGCATCAGACACCTGTGGTTCCCATTGTTGTTTCCTACCTGTCCAGTCCTTTGTAGGTTTCCAAAGTGAATATCTGGTATGAAGAGAACTGGCTGGGAGTCCAGGTCAGTCATTGTTTTGAAGTAGGTGATGTCACTCTTTTTTTGCAGAGGGAGAGCTGACAACTTTCCTTCAGCTGCTAACATGGATCACAAAGCAGAGTTATTATGGTAGAAGGCATAATAAGAATGACTTGGTGTAATCTGGCCTGGGCTTTTCTCACTCACAATTATTACATGGAGCTTGTGATGCTTGGCCTTTCCCTTTCTTCCTGTTCTGCTTCCTCTCCTCATCACGGATTTTCCTCTCTGCTCCCTGAGACCAAAAATACAGATATTACCCCATGGGGATCAGCTAATAAAACTCCTGCAGGTGATGCCAAGACACCGCAGCCACGGGTGTATTGGAAATGCTTAAACAGAAAGAGAGAGAATGAAGTCAATGTGAAATAAATAAAGGCAAGTGAAAACTCAATATAATGGCCAGCTCTGTATCACTGCATAGTGCCTAGATGCTTCATTCCATTATATAATGACTTAACTTAGAACCCTGTAGGATTGACATTCCGTTAAGCCTTGTCTACACAGAGCTCTTCCCTTAGGATTGCCTAGATTTGCATTAGTACTGCAGCTCTGCTGGTGTTAGCTTTGTAAAGCATTTTGAGAAGGACTGATGAAAAGCACTACATAAGGATGTGGTAGTATTATTATTAGCAATGGTGGGAAAGCTAATGTAGCTCCTCTAAGGGCTTGTCTACACTGGCAAGTTACTGCACTGTAACTTTCTCAGAGGTGTGAAAACATACCCCTCCTTCTCCCCCCACAAGCATTTCTGAGTTGTAAAGCGCCAGTGTAAACAAGCTCCCAGCGCTGGGAGTTATGCTCCTTGCGAAGGTGGTTTACTGAGAGCGCTGAGAGAGCTCTCTCCCAGAGCTGGTGCCATGACCACACTGCCACATTAAAGCGCTGCCGCAGCAGCTCTACCACAGCAGTGCTTTAAACTTTGAAATGTAGATAAGGCTTTACTGTGTACAGGACACAGCCTTCGTGCATGTAAACAGATATTTATAGACATTTAAAGACCTGGAGACATACGTGCAGCCTTTGAATATGCACAGTGTTGACCTAACTGGGCCCTAACGGCTCCTTTGCTGCCCCTGGGCTGTGATGTAAATACATTCCTAAGGAGTTTATAAAATAAGCCTTGTTATTGACATAACAAGCAGCAAAGCCTCCTTTGAAGCTATTCAAATGTATTGTATAAATAGAAGTACAGACATAATGTTAAGCAAAATACAAATCCATATGCTCCAAACTAGTCGTCACTCAATATTAACTATCCCAGTTTTTTCAACTTAAAAATAGAAGTTCTTCTTCTTCATTGTAATCAAAGTGGGAGATGTTCACTGAGAGACAGTAACATTCCCATGTGCTTGTTCAGAACTAAATGAATCAAGCTAAAATGAAGGTCAGAAACACTGAAATGGTTTTGCAGGCTAAGAACCCAGAACATGATCCATGAATGGCACTTCTGATGACTGCAGAGGGAGCAAGCACTAACCCAGAAAACAAAAACAGAAAATGTTAATTTGGAGAAAAAAATAAATGAAGCTATTTTCCTCTGGAAATTAGCATTTATCAAGGAACCTCTGATCCAGATTTAAGTCATGATCCAGCTAATACAGACATCAACAGCAAAACTCCCCTTGATGTGAAAGGAGCTACCCACTACCAGTAGTCCCTGTAAGTGGAGCACTTGGCTAGCCACCCAGGAGAGATTCAAATGCCACCTAGCTGAATAGCAGAGTGCCCACAGCAGCTAGTGTGTGTTTCTACAGTTGGTACACATCCACACATGGCTTGGTGCACATAACAAAATTTATTCTGCAATGGACAGAAAAAAATTAGTGGGAATTTTACCCATTAACTTTATAAGATGCTAACTGGTGATTGTCATAAAGAGAAAGGGGCCTGTACTTGGGCATCACTGCAGTTTTTCTCATTAAAGGAGTGTCATCCCAGAGAAGCAATGTTATTGCTATCAAGTGCCATACAGAACCCGCGTGCTCTGGAGTGAGTTTCCAGCCATTCCAATAGATTCAAGAGGAGTTGCTCTGTATTTCATGGTTGTAACTAAGGAGGAGAATTTAGCATTTAGCATAATTGCTCTGGAAGACAACTGATTCAATATTACAACTATTTTTTATGGTGTCGTTAACAGCAAACAGTTGCACAAGTACACCTGGGACATTAATGAACTGAAATACAGTCTCCATATTGCTGCTGAAAAGCTACATAGCTCTTATTGGGTACATCTAAACAGCAGGACAAAAGTCAAATTAAGCTACACAACTTCAGCTATGTCAATTGCGTAGCTGAAGTTGAAATAGCTTAATTCGGCTTTTGGCGCTGTCTACACAGCAGGAAGTCGAAGGAAGAGCACTCTTCCTCCGACTTCCCTTACTCCTTGTAAAATGAGGGTTACAGATGTCGGAGTAAGAAGTCCTGCAGCTCAACATTATTTCAAAATAACTGCTTGCTGTGTAGACATGCCCATTGTGTCTGTTCCCTACTTTAACAGCAGTGCTTTTCTGTAAAAATTAGCCACATAAGCACACTGAAGAGAGCACATCAATTCGCCTATGGAGACTCAAAATGGCCCCTATGTTTTCTAGTCAACTGTCTATTAAAATAGATCTTCTCTCCACTAGGGATGTAAAATCCTGTTTAATTAGTTAACCGGTAAAACAGTGGGGGTACGTCTAGATTACATGCCTCTGCCGACAGAGGCATGTAAAATAGGCTACCCGACATAGTCAATGAAGCAGGGATTTAAATATCCCCGGCTTAATTAAAATAAAAATGGCTGCAGCATTGTGCCGGCTCAGCTGATCGTCACGGGAACACCTTTGTCGACCGCTCACTTATGCCTTGTGAAACTTATGCTGTTGGCCTTTTCCTTTGAATGGATGTACTCAGCCAAACATAATCAGGAGGTGGGGGAAGAGCAGACCAACTGGCAGGGCCAAGAAGGCAACTGCTCCAGGGCCTGGCAATTGAAAAGGGCCCAGGGCTCCCAGCTGCCACTACTGTGGAGGGGGTGTTGGCTGGAGCCCCAAACCCTTTAAATCACTGCCAGAGCCCAAATGGCATGCTCTGAGGGATGCGCAGCATGCTCCAGGAGGAACTGAGGCTGCCTGTTGGAGGCTAGCCCCAGCCCCACCCCTTCCACCCACAGCTCCACCCCTTCTGGAGGCACAGAGCCAAGCCCCCCCTCACCTTGCTCAGGAGCCCGGTAAGGCTGTCAGCCCCACTGAACATAGTAACTGATATAGTAAGTGAGTTCTGTATGACAGCAACATGCCCATTACATCTTCTGCGCTGCTTAGGACCTTAACTCAAATAAGTTTTGCTTTTCTTCATTTAAATCATTGCTCTGGGGAGGGGCTGGGGATGAGTGGTTCAGGATGCAGGCTGCCTTGGAGAGAGAGGACTACTCCAGTCCTCTCTCACCACAACAGCTTGATGCCAGGTGAGAAGCGCCTCTCCATGGCTGCTGCAGCTCCAGCAGGCACAGCTGGAAAACAGGTGCATGTCCCCCAGCTGGGGGACAGACAGACACACAAATAAACTCTCTGAAACATACAGTAGATAGCTGTCCCTTTCTCCACCCCTGACCTGCTGACCCAATAGGGTTACAGCTGTCCTGGTGCCCATATCTGGTCCCTTGCTGCCTCCCTGTGGTCATTCTGCAATATAACTCCCTCCTTCCAGACCTCTTCCTTTCCATTTTATGAGAAAATCATATTTCACACACATCCCATTATGCCAGCACAACCAAACCCTGAGCTTGCTTTAAGCTATGATACTAGGAAGCTGCCTACCAAATTTGGTGGTCCTACCTCGTACCATTTGGGAGGAGTTTCTGAACAAATGGATTCACAGACAGGCAGACAGATGCACATTTCTAAAATACATAGTAAGACTAATACAGGGAAATCCCAGGATGTGAATTTCAGATTATCTGAAATGTGTGTCTGCCCTCCAAATCTGAAATGCATAGACGGAACTATCCTGCAAAGGGCTGAGCACACTGGCCTTGATCCAGCAAAGTACTCACAATTGTAACCTAGTGGGCAGTACTCCCGTGTTCAAAGTTAGGCATGAGCTTACGTGCTTTGCTGGACCAGAGACACAATGCTCAGTGCTTGGCAGGATCAAGCCCACAGAAACCAAATTGCCTCTATCTAGTATGGAAGGCTGATGTACTGCACGAACGCACAAAAGGAGATCCCTTCCCACCCAGAGCACCGGTATCAAAGTAGAGAGGATGGGGGAGAAAAGGAATAGCAATGGATGTAAGGAATATGGGTCAAGCCTCTTAACTTTGTAGGAAAATATCACAGGCGCTGACTTTCAGCCTTCCTCAGGGATGCTCCTCCCGCATTCTGCCCCTCTAGCCCCCTCACTCTGCCCCTCCCCTTAAGGCTCCCTCTCACTCTGCCTCCTCCTACCCAAGTGCCCGAATCTCCATCCTCACCCTACCTCTTCCTGCCACTGCTCTGCCCCTCCAGAAATACACCCTGCCCTTATTCCACCTCTTCCTGCCCCTCAGTGGAGGGCAGGAGGTGCTGAGGGGAGGGAGAGGAGCTGATTGGTGGGACCCACAAAACAGCGGATTGGCAGCTGGCTGGGGTAGGGTGAAAATTTCTGTGGGTGCTCCAGCCCCATAGCACCTATGGGAATGGCACCTAGGAAAACATAGTATCACACAGTGAATAAAATGTCCTGAGTCAAATCCTTCTTCAACTGTCTTAACAGAACTGTAACCTAAAGAATCAAACCTTTCTGGAGCCCTAACTCGATCACTCTGTGTGGTAAAAGCACATTGTAATTCATGACTATAAATAGACTTGGTGGCAAGTTTCCCTGACAACCTATGTAATTTTATTAAGGCATAAAAATTACATCATTTTATGATACGAAGGCATGAATGTTCTGCATACACCAAAGGAGCATTAAGGGGGTAGCAGGATTAATATTAAGAAAATGAAACTCCATAAGGATCGCTTGAAGAATATTTGGTGGACAATGACACGGACAAAGCATTGGAGAATATGTCAAGGTCACCAGTCATGCCTTTGCCATTTTACCATTATACTGTCAGCTTTAAATAATGCCCACATTAGAGCAGGTCCCACAGAACTGATATGCAAAAGAAATGCAATATTTGATAAAATACTGCTGTACATAGAATGTCCTATTGGATATAATTTTATTTCTTCGAGGATTCTGCTTAAAATACTTTGATATTGA